AGCAAAATCAAAATTAAGATAAAAACCGCCACTGTCACCTCCCCATGGGTCTCACCCACATCTGTGTCACCCAGTCCACGACCAAAAGGCAAGTACAGATTCTTCATGTGTCTCTAGGCCCCGTGTGCCTCCTCCAGGTCTCCTTCTGGATCTCCATCCTGCTTTCTACCTTCCTCAGTCTCCTCAGCAGCTTCTTCTCTCCCTGCTCAGCTCTACCCTCCCTTGGGTGGGGCAGGGAACCTGGAACCTCCCCCTTTTACCCTGTTACAGTTGACATATAATAAACTGCACGTATTTATATAACTGTACTACTTGATCATATGAAGAATACTCAACATATTTGTCATTGGGGAAATGCAAATGAATTATACCTGTTTCCTGTTTTCTCAACCTGTTAGCATTTTGTTACTCTCAAAAGTTTTCAATCTCAGCAATAAGTTATTCACAGATTTGGGTAGCAGAGAAAGACGAGGTCAATGCAGAGAAGGAGAGAGTGAGTTGATCAGAAAAATAAACTCGTGCTGCAGTGGCTGCAGATAGCTTCATCGTGCTGCATCTTAACCCCTTGTGCCACCAGGGAGGCCCAGGATTTTCTTCTTTTTGATAGTGTTAAGACAAGGAAGTTCTACTTCAAAGTCCTTATTTCCAGGACTTAAATAGTTAAGTGGGAAGCTATGCTTAACACATTAACCCCTCCTTTTCTTGATCACCCTTGAATATTGTCAGTACCCACAATCTCACTGCCTTTGTTTTGATAATGAGAAACCATCCTTTTTGATGCTTTGTTTGGCCACTCCCATTATAATTCAAACTTCTCCAAACTTAGCTCTGCAGCTACATCACACAACTGAGCAAATTGCTTCCACTATGAGTACCAGTTTCAAACAGATCCTCAATATACTGAAAATCCTATTTCATTTTTCTGATCAACTCACTCTCTCATTCTCTGCAATGACCTTGTCTTTCTCTGCTACCCAACTCTGTGACCTGCCTACCTGCCTCTCTCCCTCAGCAGAGGACTCTACTTCTTTTTTATTTTTTCATTACAAAGAAAATAAAGACTGTAGAGTAGAACTTCCTTGTCTTACAGCTATCAAAAAAAAAAAGAAAAAAAAAGAAAAAGAAAATCCTGGGCCTCCCTGGTGGCGCAAGGGGTTAAGACACAACCTATGAAGCTATCTATCTACAGCCACTGCAGCATGAGTTCAATCCCGGGCCAGGAAGCTACCCACATGGCGCAGCAGACCTCTCCTGTCTCCCCACTGCTCCCCTCAAGAGTTTATTTCAGTCAATCTGCCTGTTCTGCTCCCTACTCTGTCTCTGGTGAATCCTCTCACACTCCCTCGCCCCTGCACCTCTGGCCTGTACCCCAGTTCTTGTATGCATAAATAAAATCTTTAAAAAGAAGAAGAAGAAAATCCTTATCTAAACAAACCCTCCTTCCTTTCTGGTAAAATAGAGGAGGTTGCATTTATCTTTCACCATCAATTATCTCTATTCTCTTTAATATTTAATTCCTCATTCTCATTTTGCTTCTTGCTATTTGAAGACCATTAAAATAGGCTCCTTCAAGTCCATATGCCCTGTTCACTGTCTCCCCAGCCCTCTCTTTCTCTTCATAGAGAAGCTATTCAAAAGAGTTATTTTGCTCACTATCTTCACTTCTTTGCCCCTTCTTTATTCACTTCCCAATGCACTTTGGCCTCCAGTCCCTGATGCTGTTAAAACAGGTCTCTGAGGATATTAATGATGGAGGACCAGAATAGAAAAACTGGGAAGGAGGCCTCACAAAGACTAAAACCTGACTCACACAAGGAGGTGGGGGTCGAGGGAAATAACATGACCATTAACCCAGCTGCAGAGGTCGTGACCCTTAGGCACCAGTGCCTTATCACAAGGCAAGAGACCCAAGCAGGGTCAGACTGCTATAGGGAGTGGAGCACAGGCCTAAGCCTAAAGATAAGGAGATTGGGCCCACCCTGGAACCTCTGATCCCTATCTAGTTTCGCCTGTTACCCAACATCGGCAACAAGCAGGCCACTCCTTGGAGGAGTGACCCCTCCCAAAGAGAAAAGGACTATATCAGTGCAGTCTCTGCACAGGCTGGGGGTAGCACTCCCACTGCCCACCTGTGACTATGCAGGTGCTTTTTTTCACAGCCTCCTGCCTGCCCGTGACCTGTACATGCCGGGACTTCTCTTTACTGACCTCCCTCAGGGAAGGCTGCTCTCCTTAAGGCCGCCCACCTGCAACCATGCAGGCCTCTCTTAGCAAAACCTGTCCCTTTCCCTTTCCCTAATAAACCTGTTCTTTAAATATAACCAATGTCTCAGTCTTGTAGCAAAACCTGCCTGGGGAACTCACCGCATGCCGCTGAAATGGGAGCTCTGGTGAAACCTTTCCCAGAGTGAACCCAAGGACCCGCACTCTACAAAACGACATCATTAACACTGTTAAAGTCAAGGCCCAGGTCCTGGGCTTCATCTTCTATTCCTGTCAATATTTCCGGACGTGGAAGACCACCCCCTCCCACTCTTTTCCCTAACACCCCTTTCTCCTGGTTTGCCTCCCAACACTTTTAGAGCTTTGCCTTTGTTTCCTTGGGCATTTTTAACTCACACTGTACCGCACATTCTTCTTCTCAATCAGTGGCCACCTACACACAGATTTCTCCAACTGCTTCTCTTGAACTCCACCTCTCCTCTGAGCATCAGTCCTTAATACACAACTTTATTTTTTTTTAAGATTTGTTTATTTATGCATACCAGAACAGGGGTACAGGCCAGAGGTGTGGGGGGGTGAGAGGATTCACCAGAGACAGAGTGGGGAACAGAACAGGCAGAGTGACTGAAACTGCTGAGAGGAGCAGTGGGCGAGACAGAAGAGGTCTGCTGCACCATGTGGGTAGCTCCCTGGCCAGGGATCGAACTCACGCTGCATAAGCATAAGTCAAATCATATACTCTCTTGCTAAGAACCTTTCAATATTCCCCATTGAAATTAGGGTGAAATCCAAAGTCCTCCAGCTGTCACAAGGACTGCTTGATCTGGACTTGGCCCAAGAATCTGTCTCTATCCTCTATGTCTGCCCTACAGTTTAGCTGTGTTCTAGTCACACCCGCCTTCTTTCTAACCTTTTGCATTCCTTCCTCAAGACGTTTTCTTGTTCTTCCTTCTCTTGGAATGCTTTTCCAAGTTTTTTCCTCCTTCATTACTTTGTAAAGAACTCTTCCCTGACTGCTTTTCCTCTCCCTTGAAAGTTACTTTATTCCATTACTTAAATTCACTTTCTATATAGCTGTAGGGTAAGGAAAAATGTCAAACTTTTCTGCCCTCCCACCATCAGGATAGATGATGGATCCTTTGCGGTCCTGAATGCATGCCTGATGGCGGGCACCTGGAGTAGGGTGTGGGCATAGGTAGATGGGATTCAGCTGGGCTAAGACTGTGCTTTTTAAGGGCGGCGTCACAGGGACACCAGCAAAAGCAGAAGAAGCTGAAAGAGAGGCCGAGAGAGAAGCAGAGCCATAGGAAGAAGCAGAGATCACCGAAGCCCAAATAGAGTGAGGATTTGCTGGGGGCTGGAAGCACTGACAGCCTCCCGGCTCCCCAGCACCCCTGCCTGCCACGTACCCGCTGAACCCCAATAAAAGACCTGCAAAAAACCACTGAGGACTCTGACTCCTCCTTTACCCGGTCTGCTGTATCAGAAAACCTGCACCGTGTCCTTTCCTGCCTTTACAATAACACTATTACTTTGTTCAGATCCTTCCAATGTGTCACTCACAGCAAAATCCCTACCATAGCTGGAAAGGCCCCACATGATCTGGTCACTGTTTCCTCCTATCTTTCTCCCCTGACCCTGCTCCACACATACCTTTGCTATTACTTCCTTGCTGTATTAGCAACTGTCAAGTGCCCTCCTAACTCAGGGCCTTTGAACGTGCTGTCCTTCTGCCTGGAATAGCCTCATCCAAAAATCTGCATAGAATAATCTCTCCTGTCATTTAGATCTGGCTCAAAAGTCACTTGTCAGATAGATCTTCCTTGATGCCACTAATTAATACAGTGACTTCAACCTCACTCCTATTTCTCTCTCTCTCTTACCATTTAGTTTCCCTAAAAATAGTTGTTTGCATGTTAAATATTTCTTTTATTTATACCTATTTTCTCCCAACTAGCATATGCCATTCATGAGACTGGGGATTGTTTTCTTCACTACTGTTTTCATTGTTCTTAAAAGAGAAAGATCCTACTAGTCCCATAAATAAATGACTGACATATCTGAAACTAATTACACTATCTGTCTAAATTATCGCTTTATGTCTCCACCAGCATTCCCACATATAAACCCTTGAAAACACAGCTAAATAGGGCAAAAGGAGATTAATTCAACCACATTTACAAATTGCAACTTATTTTAACTTCTGTAATTTCAGATACCCCCCAGCTTTATCTCAGGAAACTGCACTCTCCAGAGTGACATATTTCCAGTCAGTCCTTTGCTATTACAAATCCTGCGGTCAAGAATGACCTTATGCATATAAATTACTTCTTTTCATCACTGTTATCCTTATGATATAGTTTTAGAAGTGGAATCTCTGGTTCAAAGGGTAATTGCATAGGTAAGCTAAATAGATACCGCTTAGTTCCGTTCCCCAGGGTTCCTGCCATTTTGTATTCCACCAGACCGAAGCCTCACCCGCCAACTGCATGTTTGGGGGAGTGTGCCAATCTGATAGTTGACAAATGGCCTTACCAGATCGCACCCTTCCCCACCCCTCCCCCAGGCTCCTCAGAGGGCCCCTGACTCCCTGGACCGCTGGGTCCCACATGGGCAGGGGGCAGGGCGCAGGGGCTCGTTGCCACCCGCAGCACAAGCAGGCGGTGACCCCCGCGGAGGGCTGTGGCCCAGCGCCTCCGAGGCCCTTGCACAACGGCGAAAGAGGAAGCACCAGAAAGGGCTGAAGTAAACACTTAGGAAGATGATTGCAAAATAAATCGGGTTTTCTGGCCTTTGTGGAGCCATCACCTAGCCCCAAGTCCCTTGGTCACGAATATATCCCGGTGGCAAAGAATCCTCGAGTGGAATCTCCCCAAAGGGGTGAGTGACACAAGAAAGGGACGGATGAGAGAGGAAGGCACACGTTTTCACAGTTTTTTTTAAGTTCTTTTTCTGCCAGGTGGAGGAGGGAGGGGGAATATAGGAGGATTAAGGCACGGGTCGGCTGCTTTGGCAAAGTGGTCCCCGAGGACCCAGCAAAGTGCCTTCTCGCCTTCGATGCAAAGCTCCACGTCTGCGCGCTGCGTGGGGAGCGCAGAGCTGACACCACTTCCTCCCCAGGCAAGGTCCCGAGTCCCGGACCAGCCCAGCGCACCCCATCTCCTGCCCGGCAGGTGTCCCACGCCGATTGCTTCCCCGCCGGGTTCGCCTGCGTCCCCGCCAAGCAGTCAAGGTAAGCGATGCCCGCCGGCCCGGGACGCACGCGCTGCCCGGGACACCCTCGGGGCTGCGTCCTGCCGGCGGCTCCAGGGCGCGACCAGTGCCCCGCGCCGCGGGCTGAGCGAGCGCCCCTGCGCCCTGCGCTGGTCAGCTGGGGACCCTCCCAAGCCACTCCGCGATCCGAGCTCCCCACTTGACCCAGCCGGAAGGCTGGGCGCAGGCACGCCTGCCACGCGTGCTGCCTGATGAGGTTTGACTGATTTCCTGCCCAGAAAATTGCTCTCAGGGCAGAGGGGGGCCTGTATGCGCCCTCACCTGTCCAGCAGGTCCAGGAGCCCCAACCTGATGGGCTCCGAAGACATTCCCGGGACCTTTTAGGAGGGCACTGTGGGTTAAACGCAGGGCGCGCCAGAGCATTGGAGAGGTCTGATGCATGTTTCCTTCCCTTAAAGCTTTCAGACAACTGTTTCTTCTTTTTAAAAATAACTTTTCCTCCCAATAGCTGCCCTTTTTGTTTTATAATAAGAAAGAGGAAAGATCTGGACACGCGGCTCAAGTTTCACAATTGGGCTTGGAATGAATGTCCAAATCCACATGGAGGAAACTAACTCGCTTTTCTCATCTGTGGGGGAACCTCAAATTGGGGGGGAGGGTTAGGGGGTTGCTTGAAGCCCTCGCCCAGAGTACCTCTTCTTTCCCTTCTGAGGTGTTTGTTATCTTTGGTACCGTTGTAGAGGTTGATTGTGTTGTTTCCTAGGGCCACTCACAGCAAAATGGGTCAAAAAGAACTTTTTTTAAAAAGGTTTATTTATTGATGCAAACAAGAAGTGGGGAACTTTCATTGTGAACCAGGAAAAAGAGTAAGGAGGACTAATAAAAAAGGGGAAAGACTCGTGAATTTATATTTATTGTTCTCCCGAACATTATTTCTGGGATTTGAATGTGTTTTCAACTCAGGCAGTGTACTCCCTACCACTCATTTCAAATTCTAGACCTCCAAACAAAAACTACAAAGAGGGACTCTCTCTGAAGGCATCTTTTTAACTCTGGCCTCACTGAAAGACCTGGCTGCACATGGGCAGGCTGACGGTAATCCTGGCTAGCAAAATTAAAAGAGGATCTTCTGTAATGCTTCCGGATCGCTGTTTCCGGATAGTCTGCTCAGTGTTGTGAAAGGTCTAAGAAATTCAGTGTCATTTTCGGGTTGTTCCCGCTGTTGCTAATATTTGTGTCTTTTCTGAGTCATTTGGAGACTTGAGTTCTTTAATATTTGTCTTTAACTAGACGAAAATGAGCTTGATTAATTTGCGTATTAAGTGTTTTAACCTCTCTAGACCTCAGATGAAATATCTGTAAAATGAGATTATTTGGGCTGCATTATGTCTGTCATTAAAACAGCAACTGAGAAACTGCTACATTGCTTCAAATTTGTCTTGTCGGGAACACTGGCATTTAGAATTACTGGTCACTAACAAAAAAAAAAAAAGTGTGGGGAAAATAATATCAGATTGTGTTAGATTTGAAACATCAAATTTTTTGAAGTCTTTTGGTCCTGAGAATTTTTCTCTAAACACAGACTCAATTTCTGGCCTACCTGTAAAATGGCAAGTTTCTTTTCTGTAGAAAAACTGGCTGGGGAGTTGAGGTGCCCAAACTTGGGCAATCAGTATTAGATTTCAGAATTCTTTAATTGTCATTTTTCAAGAATTACAACTTTGTAACAGGGATTATTTTATGATTTAGTTGCCTTACATATTAGACATAATATTAGAATATGTAGTGTACATAATGTTTTGTATTTCTTCTCCTATCACCTACTATTTTTGCCTTTTTTCATGTAAAATAAAAAATGCTAGATTTTTTTATATTCATATTACTATGTCATGTTACTATTAGAATGAGCTATTAATAAAATTCATTGCCATAACTGTCTATTTGAAATGCCACTTTGGATTTTCCTTAAACTGCTCTTTCAAAAAGTGTTTGTTTTATTTACATCTAATTCTCTTTAAGTATTTTTAAACTTAAGATTTTTGGTGAGTCCACAAATTCTATCATATATTAAGTTTGCATGTTATAGTCTGTCACACAAAACTTTTACAATTCTATAGGGCCTGGTAGATTTATTTTATAGACCTATTTTATATTTTCCCAAGAAAATAGACCTATTTTATATTTTCCTAAGAGAATCTTAGGAATTCTTCCCTCAAAAGAGTAATTTATATTAACATAATATTTTTAGAATAAAAATATGTTTATGTCAATTCTGTCATCATAAGTGGCAAGTAACTTAAAATTTAAGTATTTATTATGAATTCAAATACATATAAAAAATGCCAGAATTTAAGGTCTTAAATTGGTATCCTGGTTGCATGGTGATGTTTATATGTATTGTGTTGTCATTATCATGTGACACAAGACTTAGCGGAAACTGCAATCTGCAAAAGTAGCAATTAGATTTATCTGGAGGAGAGAGAACAGCAGTATTAAGGAAAGGTGTTGATGGAGCTATAATCAGTTTAAGCAGCTAGATTGCTATGCAGGGTGACAGGAGAGGGCCTGAAGGGAGCTTCTAGGGACTAGAACAGGTGACCTGCCACACCTGCATCCCTGTTACCTGGACATATTACAGCAGCAAAGTTATGTCTTAAAAAATGTTGGTTAAATATGCAGCTTGTATCCACTTCTGGGTGGTACTGTCAAAATGTCTCAAGCCCCTAAGGCCTGGTGACCCCATTAGTACCAACTCTGAGGCCTGAGCAGGTAGCACCACTCCAAGGTACCCCACCTTCTCAGTCCATATCTGGGGCTTGAATTCATAACCCGTCTCCATACATTTCCTGAACATTGACTGTGAACTCCAATCACTCAGATTCATAACAACTATTTTCTTTCAACTAAGCTTCCTCTCTATCACCAAATGATAAGAGTAAATAATAATTTCTATATTTATTTAGCTCATATTTTATACCAGACCCTGTGATAACTGATTTTGATGTGACATTTCATTAATCCTCATATTCTGGGATTATACCTTTATTATTCCCCTTTAACACTGAGGAAATGAAAGCACAGAGAGGTTTGGAAACTTACACAGAGTAGCAGAGCTGACATTTGAACCAGTCTGATACCAATACCTGAGGTGCTGAACCAGGAACAAGGCCTCAAATGTTGAAAAAACTTGGGTCCTTTCCTCAGTGAACTAGTCTAGTAGGAGAGACATGGATGGACGGTTGTCATTCTACACATGACGAGGGGTGTGTGCTGTGGGAGCATATGTGGGGACACCACATCTCTCTGAGGTCAGGAAACAAGGATGAGCAGGTAATCATGCAAAGAACTTGGCTTGTTATAGTGGGGAGACAAGATCTAATCAAGGTTGAAGCAATTATCTTTATATATGTCTTTGGAAAATATAATCCACTTTGGCAGTAATCATCTTTTCATTCTTATCTTTATGTATTCTAATCCCTCTCAATAGCTTCAAAGTTGATTAAATCACTGCAGCAATGAGTATGCTTTTTTTCCCCAAATTCTGCTGAGAATCTTTCAATTTGATCTCATATCAGACTCATCAGTGAGATGTCTGTGGACTGGAGGGGGATGAACACTAAATGATATAATTGCTGTGTACAAGATATATAGATGTATGAGAGATATATAGGTAAATTATAATATAATAAAACCAACATCTGGGTACTATCACCCAGCTTAAGTAAAATACTACCAATACATATCCTGACTTCCTCTCAATAATGTTCCCCCCCCTTTTTAAAAAAAAACATTTATTAATTTTTTTATACAAGAACCAGGGTACAGGCCAGATGCGCAGGAGGGTGAGAGGATTCACCAGAGACAGCGGAGAACAGAACAAGCAGACGGACGAAATACACTGCTGAGGGGGAGCAGTGGGTGAGATAGGAGAGGTCTGCTGCGCCATGTGGGATTCTCGCTGGCCGGCTGGGATCGAACCCACACAGCAGAGGATGCAGACAGCTTCACAGTGTGGCGCTCAACCTCCTGCGCCACCAGGGAGGTTCCCCCTTTTTTCTTAATAGACGAAATCATTATTCTGAATGTGTTAATTTTATGAAAGTACATAGAAAACAGGTACAGTCATTTGCAAAGAAGATGTTAAACTTGGAATTCGAGTACATGGGAAACTGGAATTAAAGTCTCGACGAACTCCAGGAATGGTCATAATACAGTGTGCTATTAAGTAAAAGGGTGTATAATTTAAATAGTATAAAACCAAAAATGGATGATAAATGGTGGATAGTATTACAGTAATAGCTGTGTCTTAGTCCCTAACGAAGTGCCTGAAATTCATCCGGTGGGTAAATATAATTTTTCAGTGTAATAAAAAAATATATAACTTGGGAACTATTAAAATTTCCATATTACCTAGACTTCCATTTTAAATGCAATTCAGTCACTCAAAAATATTTGCCAAGCACCATCCTACATGCTAGGGACAAGCCAGTGAACATTAGAGACAAAGACCTCTTCTTGCCTTTATGGACTTTATGTTCTCGTGGACAGATAAATAACTATTAAAGATATCAGAAGTGATAAGTTCTACAAAAAAAGAAAAAGAAAAAAGACAAACCTAAGCAAAGTTGCAGGATTAAGTAGGGTGGTCAAGCTTGGCCTCATTGAAAGATGAGATTTGAGCAAAGGTTTGAAGGAGATCAAGAAGTTAACCAAGAGATTCTCTGCTGGAACAACCAGTGTCAGGCTGTAAGGTCAGATTGTACCTAGTGCAGTTGAGGCACAAGAAGACCAGGTGGCTGGAGTGAGCAAAGGTGGAGTCACAGATGTAGCTGGAGAGGTACGAGGAGGGTGAAGAGATGGCAGATCATGCAAGTTCTTCTAAACTATTGTAAAAACTTTGGTTTTTACTCTGAGTGAAATTGAGGGGCCATTGCAGGATTCTTAGAAGAGGGTACGTGATATGACTTGGATTTAAAAGTCTCTCTCTGACTCCTTGAGAACAGACTGGACAGGGAAAAG